TAACCAAAAGATAGAAGATTAACTTCTGTTTCACAGAAAAGTGAGGAAAAAAAAAGAGAAAAGAGAAAACCTTGTTTTCTTGCTTGCAAGCCTCCCTGAAGCAAGGATTATTGATTATAGGTCAAGTTTACAAGTCCTTAGGATGTTTTTAAGTGTTTAAGGTTGGCGAGAAGTGGGATTTTCGGAGTTAAAGGGGAAGGGGAGGGTTTGTTTCTCTCAAGCTTTCAAATGCTCTAAAAAAGGCTTTAATTTGTCACCCCCTTAAAGAGCGAAAGGGGTGCTTTTATAGGCACTCCTAGCATGGGAAGGAAGCGAGAGAAGGCTGGTAGGGTTGAGCATCGCTTTCTCCTTAGTGCCTTTCTTTAATTTCGCATTGCCATTCTTGCAAAGTTTCCATTTCTGGCTATCGGGGGAACGTGCGGCCACATAATCCAGCTGCAGCCACACCATGCACATGTAGGCACACGTGCGGCTAGGGGTCTAGGTGTCAACTTTGCAGGTTAGGTGCGGGTTTGCATGATTAGGTGCGGTTTTCCATGGCTTTTGCTTACTTATAGCCTAAGCAAGCTCAAATTGCACTTAGATCAATTTGTTTTATACAATCGATCAGTAATTCTGGAAAATATCATCAATCCAATTGCAATTGTGCTTCCTTTGTCTCTCAGGGTTAAAAAATCAATTTTTGACTGAAAAACAGGTTTAGGGGTATTTTGGTCATTTTTGTAAAAAGTCAATTTTTTTGCCGAAATAGAGTACAACAGCAACTTTAAGCAGTTTTCAACATTCTAAGGATGGAGGTATTAACATTTCATCATTTGGAGGCCTACAAGCTCCTGAAGTCTTAATAGTTAGTCAAAAATAGAGTGTCTACAAGTACGCGGATTTTTTATTTTTTTTTTTGAAGGAATTACCCGGATTACCACCTAACTGGGATATAGATTTCAGTATCGAACTGCAAGCTAGGACTGCTCCAATATCAATCAATGTCCATCATATGGCACTTGCAAAACTTCAGGAGTTGAAGAAGCAATTACAAGAATTGCTTGAAAAATGATTTATCATGCCAACTCACTCACCGTAGGGAGCACCCGTTCTATTTGCTAAAAGGAATAATGGGATGTTAAGGTTATACATCGACTACCGCCAACTCAATTGAGCCATGATCAAGAATTGTTATCCACTCCTAAGGTTTGATGATCTTTTTGAATAGCTTAGAGTCTCAAAGTGCTATTCCAAGATCGATGTTAGATCAGGCTACCATTAATTATGAGTCAAAGACGAGGACATACCGAAGACTATGTTTCGAACTAGGTATGGTTGCTATGAGTTTGAGGTGATGCCCTTAGGACCAATGCACTGACAGTATTTATGAGCCTTATGAACAAGATCTTCATGCTGTATCTATATCAGCTTGTGATGGTGTTCATTGATGATATTTTAGTTTACTCAAGGTTCAAAGAGGAGCATGAACAACACTTGAGGATTGTTCTCTAGATTCTTAAGGACAATCAACTATATGCCAAGGCAAACAAATGTGAGTTTTAATTAAAGGAAGTAAAATTTTTGGGACACGTAATATCTAAGAATGGAATTGCAATAGATCCAACCAAGATAGAGGTAGTATTGGATTCGAAGCAACCAATGACCGTTGTAGACGCGCCCCGAGGGCTTCATGCTACAGTTCGGACTCAAATATCACGGTTTTGAATCTGATCTCGCAAAGTGTAATGCAAGACCGATAAATCACCAAAGAGTCCAAATCCGGCAAATCGTTTTGGAAAACTAATTTTTAAGAAAGAAGTGTCAAACATGGACTGCTTTGCCAGATACAGAGTCGCCACCTAAATATTTTATTTTGGGAAAATTTAGGAAACTCTGACTCGTTGCCTAAGGCCACGTGTCCGTCATCACCAAAGCTGCTAAAAAAAAGGAAATTGAATGGAGCAGGAAATTGAATAAAAATGGAAGTTAACTAAAAATAGAAATGGAAACTTCATAAAATTAAACATGGAAGTTTATTCAAGAAACCACTATACCCTA